GACCGATCCTGCCTATAAGGTATCGTTCATTTTTGGGAATGTATGCCACGGGTAAAGACTTGAAGGAGAGTAAAATCAGCACTTGATGGAATGCAGGGAGGTTGGTGATGAAATGGGAGAAAAAAGATGGGATTCCTGTCACAATGTTTGTATGGATGAATCCAATTCCGGGGACTCTAGACACTCCAAGTCCGGGACTTAGGTCTGTCAGCCAGTCCACAGTCACCCTGTTCTCTACGTCGAATTCATACTTTTTGATAGTACCATAGTGCCAAGAGACCATGATTGTCATGAAAATCAACGAGAGAACAACGATGCACCAAGCTCCCTTGGTAAAGTTCAAGAAGCATGACGATAGATACAATGCTTCAATTGAACCAAAGAATAACAAAAACAGAACAGAGAGAAATGCAACATTCTCCCATTGCAGTGCTATAATTAGTGACATAAGACAAGTAGTCACTAGCATTCCACAAATAACAGCTAAACCTGGAGCAATAAGTTTATGAGATGTTACTACAAAAGTGCATACATTTGTTTGGAGAGTACCAAATTTAGACATTTCTAAGTGCTAATAAAACCAAGAGAAGTGAAGTTGTGATCGATGTATAAAGCAATACCTGTAGCGTTTGCAATAGCTGATACGTCTCGAAAACCTATCAAGATTGACAGGCTAAGGATCATGAGTATCCAATTTGCATCAGGAACATAAACCTGTCCACGGACTTTATCTGATGTATGGATAACTTTGACTCTCGGAAAGCAAGCAAGTGCTTGACATTGGTTTATGATGGAAAAACTTGCAGTTATCGTAGCTTGGCTACCCACGAGGGAAGCAAAAAGGGACAAAATTGTGAAAATATGCTGAAGATGTCCTGAGCAATTGATGACTGATGATTAGAAATTCAAAGGAACAAGCCACTATCATGACATGTAAAAAGTCAATCTATTGAACTTACTATGTGTGACAGATTCACTAAGATGAGCAACATCATCTGAAGAGCCGAGGTGTTGGGAGAAAAATGCTGCTTGGCCAGCATAACACAAGACAAGGGCTGGATATACCAAAAAGATAAAAGTGACCTGCAAAAAAAGCATCCTGTGAAAACTCATAATCTCCATGTTAAATGGCTAACGAATTTCATAATTACCTTAATAGATCTCTTTGAAAAATGACCTAAATCTGCAAACATTGCCTCTGAACCTGAAGCATGTAAAAGTGTTTGATGTATCAGCAAATTTAGGAAGTGCTAGGAGATAACTGATGAATACAAGGCACTTCGACATCAAAATGGAAGTGAAATACGTAATTTCCAGTTAACACAAACTAACCTGCTATACATAAGACAATGTTGCTTAGAAGTTTCAAACTTGTCATATCTATTTTCTTAATGAACCTAAACATGTATGTTGGGGATATCGCCCAGAGGATTTGAGGATGATGAATTATATTGTACAAGCCGAATCCACTTGTAAAAACGAGCCACACGATAACAATTGGAGCAAAGATGACACCGATTCTGTTGGTTCCATATCGTTGCAGCATGAAAAGGCAAACTAAGATGGCACAAGCTACTGGAACTGGTATAACTGAAAGTGTCATTTCACATAATCAAAAATATATTAGTGCTATTTCATTGTCCAAAACAGAAAGGTACAAGTTAGGAAACTTACATCTCTTTAAATACTTGTCAACAGATTGTCTTGCATTTTCTGAAGAGGTAACTGATTAAAAGTTGTATGAAGAAAATCAGCTACAAAGTTGTATAAAATATCTTGTATGTTAAATAATAGTAATACAATTCTTACATCGGGGTGCAAATTTTGACAAGGAACGTCTCAGATTTGACGTTGCTGAATAAACTGAAACAGAAATTAACACTCAAAATCTGATCCTAATCATGTGAAAGTAGGAGGTAATGATCAGCAAAATTTCCAAGTAGTGAGAAGTAAAGACTAACCCGAAAGAGCAGGAGTAAATATTCCATCACAGATTATCAAACAGGAACCAAGCAAAGCCAAAAGTAACAGCAAGTAGTGACTGCTTTTATATCTTCCGATAGCTCTTCTTGCCCTTGACTCCGCCTTCATTTTAGAAGGGGTTCCTTCCTCTAGATGCATAAGCTCCGTAAAACTTGTATCACTCGGGAGCAGACCTACATTGGCACGCCTACAAAGTAGGGAATACAAAGCAAATGTACCACCTACAACAGATTGATCACTGACTATTAGTACGATTTTGAACGTATATATCAATGACAGCTAGAGTTTATTGAAACTTCATACCTTCTCCGTTATCATCAGCCTTGAAGACTATAAAGGCATATTTCAACAAGGGAATGATGGTTAAAGTCCAAAAAACGAAGGAAAAGAGTTCATATATCTGCTGTCCTGATTTGATATGGCAAGGATCAATCGAACCGAATGCATACAAGGGAGTAGTGCTTAACCGACCATACACTACTCCGAGGCTTTGAAACGATAGAACAACCGTGTGCCTCCATGTTTCTTTCTACAAATTCACCATACACATAGGAATAAAACATGAATATGACTTATAACATAGTGCTGAACTATGTTGCTTACTGATGCTGAATAATGTACTATTTTGGAGGATCCAACACGCATCTATCTCATTTTTGAAGAGTCTGAGCAACATAGTTATGCTAAAACATTTTTTATTAGAAAACTTGGTCCTACCCATGGGATGTCACTCACCAAAATTCCCTTACAAAAAATTATATTTATGAAATGTTACTCAATAGTTTAACCCATATATCTATAAAATATAAATAATCAAACTCTCTCCTCTTCCCTTTTTTGCATTAACTAAATTTAAATTGATTAAAAACCTTAATAGTATATATTTATTGTTTTATGTTTTAAATTTTAATTAAATAAAAATAAATATGTAATTACAGCTTTCATAAAATATATTTAAAATATTTTATCTATTCAAATAAAAATACTAATTATAAAACTAACCTTTTAATAATACTTTCCTTTTTCGTAATTGACATTTTAAAAATATTTTTTGAAAAGATTTGTCAAACACAATTTAATCAAATACTTAAAAAGATAATTTTCAAATTTATTGGTCAAACATATTCGGCTTAATTCTCTGAAAAATTATTTTGATAAATATATATCTAAAAATAAGTAATTTTTTAAGTACGGCCTGTCAAATTCAGGGTGAATCTGCCACTACGTGCGGGTCCGAAAAAGGATCTCATTGGGTCAATCGTACATAATATAACTCTGCATTTCCACACTATTATTTTTACAGCTTGAATTGATAACCTCTTTGATCACGAACGACAACAACTTTTACAAATGATTGAAAAATTATTAAAGTGTGTGACACACACTTACCTTAATTGCATAATGAATGGACACAAGGCTTTGTGAAGGATCCATATCTCAGTGAAACATAGCAGAAATGCAAGACATCCTTTGATAAATTCAAGTTAACCACCCCAACTTCAAGTGATAATTAAGAGAGCTACAACATTAAACATTTAAGTTCTTGAGAGGAATCGGTTGATACGAGGGAAACACACGTTAATAGCAAGGTTCAAATATATATATATATATAAATAGACTTTTGAGAGAACAATAAATTAAAAGTATTTTTTATTTACTATAAATGTTACAGAATTAGAACAACTATGTATTAATAATGCATAAGTTATATCTGATTAGCCAGTGGACTGAGTTATATATAAGTGGAACTAAATCAGAATAAACTTTTGTTGTTGCACCAAATGTTTGGTTTTTGTTAGGATAAATAGGAAGAGTTTTTAATTATTCACATGCGATGCTGACTGGTTGACTAATCATATTCCACGTTACTTCTTTTTTCCCTTAATTCTCTTCTTCTTCTTTTTTTTAAATTGGAAATATCATGAAAAAAAAATTATTATCAATATGTATAGTTTAAACACTTTATTTTTATATAATAAATTACTGTTTCTGGCATTTAAACGGTTTCGTCATTGTTTACTCTGATTACACGAAAAAAAATGGATTGATTGTATTTTACATTAATTGTTGCCGAACAAAAATTGGAAACGACAACTACAAAGTGACAATTGAGTAACCAGAATCTCCAATTGGGAAAACCGATTCATTTTTTTATTTTATACTGTTTTTTTCTTCAATTGCTTCAAATAGAGTTCCTATTCTTCCCTACATCTGCAATTTTCTCAAGCATAAAAAGTTCCGTAGGTACTGTGTAAAAGTTTGTTAATTTGCCTTGGTAACTAAAAATGAATGTATAATAAATAGTATATGCTTCAGTGACCCTACACGGGGATTTCTTTTGTTTCTTATTCGGTGTCAACACTTACTTTGGACCTCCTAACTAATAACTAATTCACTAAGCATAAGACCCATCAAAGGGGAAGTTCTCCATAAGATGAGAGGTTTTCTATTTGCATATAGCCTATTTGTTTAGAATAAGTCCTTTCTCAGATGTTGCCACCACCAGCCTTGAGGAAATAATGGATGATCTTGACAAACTATTGGGAGGAGTACTTTTTAATTTGGATAAGTAACTATTGGAATAAATGAATCTTAACAGAAAAGAATTAATTAATGGCAGAGAAACGATGTGAGACATAAAGCTTGTATACATCCTCATTGTTAGATAATGCTGTAAGGGTTGCAATACTACTAATATCCATCCAAAACATTTTGAATTCAAAAAGATAGACCAGACTTGCACAATAGTTACTGGTCCATATCAATCAGCACATGAACATTTGAAGCTGCTAAGCAGATCATGCTCCATCTTTGCTAAACAACCCAACAATCATCTTTGTTCACTTTTGTGTTCCTGTGCGAGTGCACTAGTGTGTGAGAGCATGTTCGAAAGGGCTCTCCCTTTGCACCATTTCAAGAAAAATGTGTATCCAAAGTGGAAAAGGTATTTCTTTTGCACAAAGTAAGGATTACAACCAAGGTAAGGCATCTATGGAAGAGATTCACTCTGAGCAGCATCAAGCAACCAATGGATTTTTACAATGCCTTGTTAATAATATAGCATACAGATACAATTGTACACTTTAAACAATAAATCAGAATAGTATACTGTCTGAGGAAAGAGTTAAGTGTAATAAACTAATATGTTCCGTGTATATATGCACATGAATACATCCTTATACATGTAGATGTCTGCAATAATGGTGTTTGATGTGTTAAGAAACCACCTAACTAAAGGTTAATTTGATGTGACAATAACTTTGAGAAACGAAAAAATCTGTTTTCTCTTATACATTTCCAGCGAGGATCTCAAAAGTATTCTAATTGACCATTTCAGTTTGGTAATTTCATCACCGTAAGCTCTAATTAAGCATTCCCACAAAGAAAAGCTCGTTCTGATGTCTGCCCCAACATTATAACATCACAGAATGATGCGAATATCCAAGTATAGTTGTATTCAGTGAAGTTGGCAGATGAAGTATTGAGAAAAATAGTGCACAAATATGAATAACTTCTCACCTTATTAGGCACTATCTTAAAGCTTCTTTACATTACCTTCTTTGCATTGCAAACTTTCAGCACATCCAATTGTGGTAAACTGGAAGGAAATAGAATATTATGCTGCAATTCTGGGCCTCACTTGCAGAATGATCCTTATGAATAATATGTTTAAAACCCAATCTGCAGGACTAGTTCTTGGTTCTTCCTGTGCATTAATGGAGAAGAACTTTTAGAATAAAGAAAAAAACACAATAATCAGCTTACCTAGATGAAAAGGGAGTACCATTAAAAAGAAAATGCCCCACTCTGTACTCTTGTTTCCATGTTCTTGCACTCACTGTGTCACTCTTCTGAAAAGCAGAAGTGTTGCAAATCTCACTGTCCAGTGGTTTGTTTATGAACTTTTACTTCATTTTCAAGAGGCCTTCTTTTTGTATACCATGCAAATGTTCCACCATAACAAAACTTACTACCAAAACCCTCTACAAGAGCAAGATCCATTCTTGATATGATGAAAGCGACTTGAGTCCCTCAGTATAATTTCATGCTCAATGATTTTGGATATGTATGTCATTGCAGTATGACAATCTCCACAAACTCGCAGGTTCTTGGTTATTCTGATAGGCACTCCAGGAGCTGACGTGAGAATGCCATAAGCAAGGGCCAACTTTTCACTATGTTCAATAAGAAGATCACCTTTCTCCTCATCATCTACATCATGAAGCGCAAAACTTGTCTCCGGAACATAGCCCATTGCTTTGATACGGTGAATTAGGTTTTCGAGGAGATCATATATCTTTTCAGACAATGGATGACATCTGTCCCCGACAAAAAATGTAACAGTCTCCTTCTTTCCTTGAACCCAACTACATCCAGGTCTCTTCCTTATGCCAGAATGTTTCATAAGAGATCTAATCCGAGCCACATCTTTCCAACGTTTGGCATTAGCATATATATTTGAAAGAAGTGTATAAGTCCCATCATTCTCAGTTTCCAATTTTGACAGCTTTGCAGCGGCATGCTCCGCAAGATCCACATTTTTATGGACTCTACAAGCACTAAGCAGTGCAACCCATACTACTGAGGTTGGTTCCATTGGCATGCGTTCAATGAGCTTCATAGCTTCATCCAGTCGACCAGCACGACCCAAAATATCAATCATGCATGCATAGTGTTCAGCCCCAGGAACAACTCCAAAATCCCCCTGCATATGGTTGAAGTAATTCATACCCTCATCAACCATTCCAGAGTGGCTACAAGCATATAGCACAACAAGAAAAGTTACACCATCTATGGGCAGACCTTCTCCTCTCATTACGTTAAACACTTGGAGAGCCTCCTCGCCCCGACCATGCATTCCATAGCCAGTCATCAGGGATGTCCATGAGACAGCATTCCTCTGGCTCATGTTATCGAACACAAGTCTAGCTGCATCAACATCTCCAGATTTGGAGTACATGTCAATGAGACAGTTAGCCACAAAGACTTTTGTAGGTTCACACCCTTGTCGTAACACATATGCATGAATTTGCCTACCAATCCTAAGACTAGACAGACGAGCGCAAGCCACCAGAGCACAAGATATAGTATATGCATTTGGGATTACAGAGTACTCATCCTTCAGCATTGCTGAAAAAAGTTCTAAAGCATCATTTGCATCGCCATGCTGAGCATATCCACCTATCATGACTGTCCATGTGACAACATTCCTACCTCTCCTGTCAATATCATCAAACATGGCCTGAGCAATTTTCATCTCCTTGCACTTTGCATACATGTCAATCAGAGCATTAGTCACCATGAGATCCTCCTCAGTATTGCTGCCTTCCAAACTCAATATTTGTTTAATGGCATAGCAATGAGTTTCCTTCCCTTGACGCAGTGCTCCAATAGCAGCGCAACCTGAAAGCACAGAAACAAGAGTGATCACGTTTGGCTCAGCCCCAGAAAGCCTCATCTCCTTAAAGATATTGAGTGCTTCATAGCCTAAATCCCTCTGTGCATACCCTGAAATCACAGCACTCCATGTTACGACATTCAAATCAATCTTTTCTTCCCTCATTCTCTCAAACAATCCCAAAGCCTCATCAAATCTTCCAATCTGAGAGTACCCAGTGACCAATGCGTTCCAAGAAACCACGTCTTTCACCTCCATTAGCTCAAAAACCTTGTTAGCATCATCCAAACGCTTACATTTTGCATACATATCCACAATTGCATTTCCTACAAAAATGTCCTCATGCAAACATCTCCGTATCGCATAACCCTGAAGTTGTTTTCCACGTTTCCATGCCCCTAAAGAACCACAAGCTGGAAGTACATTAACTAAACTAACAGCATCAGGCCGCAGCTCAAAACTATTCAACGCAACCATCAAATCAAACAACTCCAAAACTTTCTTATCCTCATCCTTCTGTACGTAAGCCGCCACTATTGAATTCCATGAAATAACATCAGCAGTTACTCTCTCAACCGTTTTATCAAACACCTGGCGTGCATGACCTAACAGCCCACATTTCCCATACATAGCAATGAGACCATTACATACAAACACATTGGAATCCAACCCAGATGATAGAATCAAGGAATGAACAGATTCACCGAAAAGGAGGAACCGAAGCTCACCACATGCCTTGAGGATATAAGGGTATGTGTAGCCATCTGGGTTCCAATCAAGTCTCAGCATTTCGCGGAAGAGGACCAGAGCACTCTCGTGATGTCGGAGAAGAACACAGCGTTTGATGAGGTTATTCCAATAGAACACAACCTGAGACGACCATGTAGTGAGGTCTGCTGAGGGTGAAAAGACGCCGGCGACGACAAGTTTTGCCTTGATACAAGACTTGCATTGTTTGAGTAATTGAGTAAAAGAAGAAGGAACTACTGCTCTTAGCAATGGCGTTGATGAAGTGAAGAAAGCGAAGAAGGAACTGGATTTGAAGCAAATGTGAAACAGGGCTGAGTTTGAAAGTTTTGGAGGCAAAGACGAGGGAACAAGCATACTCCCTAACTACCCTTCTATCTACTTCGGAAATTTTTTTTAGAAAAAAAAAAACGACTTCTGTGTATTTAAGCGAGGAAACATATTAAGACACGATTAACATGTTGCACTTTCTTTTAGTACTTCTTTAAGATAAATAAATAAATATATAATAATTAACTTAAAAAATTAGTGGTAAATTTAAATATGATGATCTATATTTGTTTGTTGAATAGTACGAATAATCATTAATTTGGTTGCGAATTGTTATTTTTGTTGCATGGGGTAAATCCTTTAGAATACAAATTCCTGGTTTTCTCTATAATTAAATGAGCAAATTTTAGGTATAGCAAAATATAAAAATTATACTTATATTTTATAATAATAGTTTACATGATTGTGCTTCGTAGCAAAATTTATATTTGCTATGTAGCTATTGAGTTGTATATTTTGATAATCCTATCATGTCTTAATCTGTATATTTCGATAATCTGTATACAAACTAAAATATAATAATTATATATAAACAAAATTACTACATGTATACATAAAGAGATTATAAAAACATATCGTATTATGTAAAACTATGACACATATACAAATAAAAGGTGTTTTACCATCATTATTAGACTCTGGCCCACTTAAAAGGTGAATTTCATAAATTATATACAAACGTGAAATATTTAATTTCAAATTATATACCTTTTGTTTTTTCCTTTTTATTTAAGTTAAAAAGAAAATAATGAAAATCTTCGAATGACCAAAAAACGTTAAAAATTTATTATAAATTACAAATGAAAAAAAATTATGGCTATAATATTTAATACTTATTAATTAAATATTTGCTATTTTATACCATTTTTCTTAAATAGGAGTTAATCAACATGACACCCTCATTATCCTAATAGTCATTACACCTTGGTTATAAGTCTTTAAACACTTAAAACGAAATTGATCAATCACAGTCAATAATCAATATTGTCTTCATTATGGTAAGATTTATGATTTTTCTTTCTTTACTTTATTTGTTTGGATAGCCATATTGAAATGTGTTTAAATACGTAAAATTTTAAAAAATCTATATATTAAAAAATAGAAATCAGAAATGGTTAAGAAAAATAGCCAGAGTGCTGCTCACTCAGAAAGCCTTAAGTATGCGTTGACAATCAATTTTGATCCTCCATGATATAAATTAATTTTTAAGCTTCTTTAATCTCTAACTATTTGAAGTAATTAATTTTATAAAATTGAAATAATTTTTAATTTTTTTTTAAAGGTAATTCTGTCATTTTTATAATTTTGAAGTAATAAATATGTAGTATATTTTTTACAATTATGCATATAATTATGTCAATCTTATGGATATTCAAAAAGTTGTCTTAAAAAAGATTTTAGTTTTACTTAAATATTCTATTAAACTAATTTTATCTAAATTAGTAGTTTATATTTTTAGTCATTATTTTATTAAGTTAAATATTTTATTTCGTTAAAATTAAAAAGCTCCTTAATTAATTTTGAAAATTTGTCATGTAACTCTAATTGAAACTCAATAGGCTATTATGACAATTTTAGCCAATTTCTTCAACCCCTTGCAAGACCAGAAATTGGGCCAGACCCAGCTCACTTTTCCAGCCAACCCAATTCAACAACCTTTGGGCCAATTCCTTTTAGCCCAAAACATTTCCAAAGAAACCCAGCCCATCAACAATACGTACAACAAGATATAATGGCATGACATCCTATATATTAAATTGGGAAAATTGTATATAATAGCAAACTAATAACCTAAAATAAATGGAATAGCTAGGGTTTGATTTAATTGTGCTCCAAAGCAAACGTTAGCTAAAGTTTTTCAGGCGTCTCTCTCCCCAAAGTCTCGCTCGTCACTCTCCATTCTCGCTCGCCTCTCTCGCTCTATACACAGAAGTGTATAAATTCTGTTTCCGTTTTGTATAAAGCGAGACAAAATTGTATATACATATGCAAAAATATATATATCTTCGTGTTATACACTTAATTATACAATTTACAAACATTTTACTTCAAATATTGCAGAGAAAAAGGCCAACAAATTATACGATTGCGAATTATACAATTGGAGTGAGATACAATTTTCTCTAGCTTTATACAACAGAAGTGTATATATTGTGTTTCTGTTTTTGTACAAAGCGAGAGAAAAATATATATCTTCTTGCTATACACTTATAATTATGCAATATACATACATTTTAATTCGATTTAACTGTATGCAAAGCAAATTTTATAAAAGTATTGCAGCCAAATAGGCAGTGAATTATACAATTGTACATTATACAATCGCAGTGAAATAGGATAGCGAATTATACAATTGCAGCGAAATAGGCCAGCGACTTATACAGTTTTATGTTTGCTATGGAGCGCAATTATGCAAATTTTGCTATAGCATACAAATATGAATTTTTTGTTTGCTATATGTGAAAGTTGCCCTATTAAATTAGCAATAAATAACCCACTTTTAATTTTTTTTAGCAATAAAAAGACTTTATTTTATTTATTTAGCATTAAATAGTTATTTTTCTTTTCTTTCAAAATGTATTTTTGTACTCCTTATTTTTCTCAAACACACGTTATCAATAATTATTGCTTTACCATCCCTATTTTAACTCCTTTTTTATTTCGTCAACATTTTTAAAATAGAGTTCTTTCTATTTTTTTACTCCGTTATTTCTTTCCAAAATTCTTTTCACTCGTAATTCTCTCACTAATTTTCAATTCTTCTTTTTAATTTTTTTTTTTTATGACAATCATATATAATAATATGTTTTTTCATGGATACTTCTAAAAATCGTCTTTATATATAATCTTTTTGTTGTCAAATTAATGTTGAATTTCATGCTTTGTAGAATTGAAATTTCTTCAATTTTGTTTTGCGAAAATTTAGGTTATTCAACCATCTTTTTTTTTCTTTCAAAAATCATATTCATATATATATTGCCTCTCCTCTAAATTTTCTCTTGTTCTTTTAATTTTGTCTATGCAAATAAGATATAATTGTACGTTTATCGATTGATCCTTCCAATAATTTCTTTTAATATATAATTATGTAGCATTTCTTGCACCATTAATTTTAAAATTTCGTGATTTGTGGAACTAAAGTTTTAAAAACTTTTTTAGCGAAAATTTAGGTAATAGTTTTTTGAAAATTTTGTTCTCGATTTCAGGGATAAGAAAGATTCTCGTAAGATCTTTGTAGAAAATCAGAATGTCGATTTTGATGAATACAACCCAATCTATACCAATGAATTCCAATCTCAATTTAAATTAAAGTATACAAGTTTATTACGTGAATACAATTCACTGAATCACGATAAATATGAATTAATGTATGTATAGTGCAGTTACTGTATACATACACAAAATCACATGTACAATTAATGAATCAAATTTATATATGTATTATATTAATCTCATTCTTGTATTTATTATAGTAGTATGTATAATTGATGGGTAATATACTTATGTATACAATATAAAGTTTATGTGTACATGCTACGAATAATGTGTACATCAATAAGATTTACACGCCTATTTTATGAATAATTTTTTTTGTATACATATTTTTTTATGTAGAAATTATGTAATCACAACTTTAATTATTGTATAATTTATGCATATGTATTATTAAAGTTTCTAATAAAATGTCATTTAATATTATTTAATTAATTATTATCAATTATGTGATAATTAATATACATTATAGCATTAATAATACATTTTCTTACCTTAAAAGTAGTCACAATATTTTAATAAGTTATTTAAAAAATTTTAAAAAAATCATTCCTTAAAAGTTGGTGTAACCCTTTTTTTAGTGGGTTAATTAATAAATATATATATTCCACTTCTTAAGAGTAGGCAATCATGGAATGTTACGCAACAAAAGTAAATTTATATTATTTAATTACTCATCATAGGTATAATTTGTTAAAATTATCACTCGCGATTAACATTATACATTAATTAGGTGGGCTGATTTCGAGTTTGTATAATTAGTCACATTTATATATGTATAATTCATCAGAATATACAAATACATATATATAATCTACAATTATTTAATCTATATATATATACAATTCACTTCTCTCCCACTCTCTACCCTCTTTTTCCTATCCCAATCTCGCTCGCCTCTCTCCTCTTTCTCCTACTCTCGCTTGTCATATATATATATACATATGTATAATTTACAATTATCTAACCGATATACATATACAATTTACCTTTCTCCCACTATTTCCCCCACTCTCTCGCCTTTTTCCTCTCTCTCCCAGTCTCGTTTGCCTCTCTCCTCCATATAACATGTAGCTACGTATTGTAATTATCAAATTATAGGTATGAAAAGTAATTATTCTATTTTTAAGTGACATAAGTTTTATTTGAAATTTTATCAAATAAACATAAGATCTCTTTTTTTTAAATTTGACTTTAAGCCTTTCATGGAGTCACCCTCAGGACTCACGAACCCCAATTTGCTATTAGTACACATTACTATTCATTAACTTTATCCTTGTAGTTATTAAAGCATGTGATTAGTTAGTATGGTTGCATATCAAATGTTAACTATTTATATTGATAGGCTCTTTCAAATTAACAAAATGTTCGCCATCAATTGTAATATGCTACCTTGATTTTTATTATCTAAAATATATTGATAAATATAGAGATACAAATGATTTAATTTAAAGTTTTAAAATATTAGGTGAATTTAAAATATAATCTTGAAAAAGAGATTTACTTCAGTTTTAGTGTCATGATCGAATAAGGAAATATATAATCTTTAAATTAATTAAAAAGGTCAAATAACGAGTACATTAAAATATCAGTAGCTTTTTTTTAATATCATTTGCATTATCCTTTTATTATATAAGAGACAATTTATGCTGAAGTAAATACATCTCCATTGACGTGTCTGTTTCAGTGTGTCTGAGAAAAAATTTAAAAGTATTTATTTTGTTCTACTTTGATAGTTTTCCCTGAAGTAGGTCCGACTTCAGCTACTTTGAGAACAGTTCATGCTGAAGCATTCACGTCTCTATCGACATGCCTGCTTTAACTTGTTTCTGATTTTTCTTTAAAAAATTATTTTTTTGTTCTACTTGACAGTTTGCGCTGAAGCAGGCATGTCACGCTCCGAGTCTACACCTTGGACGCAATTGACACACAAGGACCATTGATGTTCAACCCTTGGCCTGACTTATTATTTAACTGAAGTCTTTACTCAATTGAAATTGCAATTTAAACCAACCTCAAATCATAATGATATTATAAAATACAATACTCTGTTCAGTGTACTCAAATGAAAATAAATGTTCAACTTATCGTCTTTAACACACATGAACAAAGGAAATGGTAAAAAGACTACTCAACTATAATTTGTCTATGAAGCCTCCAATAACTTTGATGGACGTCGTAACAAGACTCACGACATCCTAACAAAACCAAACTGAAATAAAAAAATGGGGATCCTCCAAAAGTGAGGGGCTCATCAAACCAACTCTAAGACTCGATTAGATCAACGTAGCGCCAGTTGATGATCCTGAATACTTGTATTTGCATCATAATATAATGCAGGTCAAATGGTGTCAGTACATTGAATGTACAAGCATGTAAGGAGAACTGTAAAACATAGATATATAAGCTTGAACTAGAAGGAAATTTAAACAAATGTACCTCATCACTCAATACGATATAAAAGCAATAATAAAGATGCAATGTAAAGAAAGCTTTAAAACAATAGATAATAACTCAGTGCATTTAGAAATACAATAAAAACCCTTTACTCTTATTTAGGATATTTTTGAACTGACAACCAGCACTATGAGCTATGTGATGATACAACGTCTCGCTCATATTGGTGTTCAATACTACTCCCACTAATATAACTCATGCTCATATATTTGAAAACATTTTTTCATCCTCAAACTTTGAGATTATTACTCAAAAGGTTCTCTTAGAAGAGATAGTGTTTAAAACTCATCATGAACTCATTCGGAAATCAAAGGTTTTCCCTCATTTTTAAAAACAAAAATATTTACTCCTGAGAACACTTAATTCTCATATATTCATTTTGAAAAAATGAAACTCAAATATTCAAGTTTTAAAAAGTTTGCAAAAGAATTCTCATATTCATGTGTTATTGACCAAGTTTTCAGTTAAACAGAAACAAAGTTGGAATACGCAATTGTCAACAGTGTTGGAAAGACCATGAATCAGTACTAGTTCTTCGTTCTTTTTATATTACTTGACTCATATTAGTATGATATATATTCGTTTTGTATTAAATATATATTTTATTTAAATTAATTTTATTAATTATATATTTGAAATTCTAAATTTAATTATTATTATTTTGTATGGTTATTTAATTCTGAGAATAAATCTGAAAAGAAAAAACTCTCCTAATTTGCTAAATCAAATAAAAATAGAGGGTAGCACTACAGTAAAAATAACTTTTTAGCGGCATTAATTATTGACACTAATAAAGAGTGCTAAAGCCGGTATTAGTTAAGTGTCATTAGAAACAATGTCGTTAAAGACTTTAGAGATATATACAAAGAGTGACAATTGCCGCTAAAAATATATATTTAATAACAATTAAAAATTAAATGCCGCTAATAATTATTTTTATCATAATATAGTAAAATTAGGACGAAGGAAAAAAAAAGTTTCGAAGCGGAAAGAAAGATTAATTAGTCGTTGGTCAAACGGGTCCGCGCATATCTTTTGGAAATTGGAAAAGTGCAAAGTTTGAGCTACTTAATTTTAGCCATTTAAATATATCACAAGGGAGGCAATTAGCATGTGTTCCTTCGACTAGTAAAGGCCGTCCCTTCTAGATTCCTTTTTACGTAATCAATGACTTTACAATTGGCATAAACTCAAATCAATTCTTTAGTTAGTTCCAAAAAAATTCATAAAGCACAAATATAGAGTACTATTTTTTCATTCAAATTTTAAAAAAATAATAATAATTTGAGTATAAGTAGAAAATAGATTATTAGAAACAAAAATTAGTGTTTTGATACGTGCTCTCTAGAATCTAATAATTTCGTTTGAAAGTCTATTTATATTAAGAAACTCAGTAAATATATATATCTAGAATTTATAAATTCAAAATTTGTAAGAAAAAGCATAAACAACAAATAATATGAAAGGAAATATGTCCTTGGCTTCTATCCATCCCTTTGTGTCCTTTCCTCCTTAAACAGGGCCTCCAAACCAATAAATAAATTGACAATTTTTTTTTAAGAATAAGTAAAGAAGGTCAATGCATAAATAAAATTCAACGCAGACGAAGTAATGGGGCATCTTACCAACAAGGGACAGCCAAGTACGCCACCCTTATTTGATTTTGATTTATAAATTGGTCCAAGTTAAAAGTCACGCTTAAAAAGTAAGCCAATAAAATTGATTAAACAGCTAGCTTTCTCATAACATTGCCATTTTCGACTCTCCTTCTTCCTTGGAGACATTCTTATTCATTTTCCTCTGCCATTTCAAACAATTATCGCGAAAAATGGCGTTTTCTGATAGAAAATCTTTGATCCCTAGTTATCTTTACAGTACAACATCAGCTAATTCTTCAAAGAATCTCAGTAGTGCATTTGACAATCATGACAATATGGATAAGAAGAATTTATTGATTGCAGCACCAAAGGAAGGTTCAGGTTATAAGGTAGAAATGTACTCACCGGCGTTTTACGCAGCAAGCACGATAGGCGGTATTTTGAGCTGTGGTCTTACACACACGGCTGTTACTCCTCTTGATCTTGTCAAGTGCAACATGCAGGTATACATATACTTTAGCAGAGGATACATTTTAATATTTTCTAACTTTTTGAGTATTACTAATTAATATGTCATGTGCATATCAAGTTAAATTGACCTACAAAGTTAGTCTCGATTTATTTTTATTACTGTTGTCGCAACTCTTAAAATTATAATTAAAGATAACGATCATGAAAATGATGATGCTTAGACTTGCTTACAATTGTTCACTTTAGACTGGATTTTGTGTGTTTCTTTTGATCCAACCTTAATCAATCAATCCTCTATTAATTTTTAAAAGTTAGAATCTTTCTTTCATGTCTGTGTTTTTTGTTCTTCCATTCTGTTCTTTCATTTGTTGATCTGAAATTCGGAAGAGAAAATGAAAATGAAAATGAAAATGAAAAGAAACTGTCGAATTTCCAGAACAGATTGGATTAGTGATGGATTGAATGTTTGATCATTATCAGATTGATCCTGCAAAGTTCAAGAGTATTTCCTCTGGTTTCGGAATTTTACTCAAGGAACAAGGAATTAGAGGATTATTTAGGGGTTGGGCACCTACTTTACTTGGTTACAGTGCACAAGGGGCATGCAAATATGGATTCTATGAATATTTCAAGAAGTACTACTCAGATCTTGCTGGCGCGGAAAATGCTGTCAAGTACAAGACTTTGATTTACCTTGCTGGTTCTGCTTCTGCTGAAGTTATTGCTGATGTTGCTCTATGTCCATTTGAGGCTGTCAAAGTTCGTGTTCAAACTCAGCCTGGATTTGCTAGAGGCTTGTCTGATGGACTTCCCAAATTTGTCAAGGCTGAAGGAGCTGCAGGGTAATTCTTAGTTCATGTTGAACAAATTTGTTGTTGTTAATGTGAGGGTTTTTCTTAAATGCTGACGAAAATGTGGAATTTGAATGTTTGTGTTTCAGGCTTTACAAGGGGATTGTACCTCTATGGGGACGACAAATTCCATGTAAGCTTACATATTTCCTCTGATCTTTTTTATCTGGATACTCTGGTTTACTATAAACTTGGAACCTTTCTAATGGTGTCATTCAGTTTCTATAGTTCCTCTGTTTCATTTTACATGACAGTATTTTCGAGTACTAGTAGAATTTGTGCTCATAAACATGTCATGACATTTCTGTGGCTATAAAAGCATGTTATTAACTGTCAAATGAGAAGTTTAACATTGAAGATTTTCCAAATATGTAAAAGTTTCATGCTTTTTTGGAACAAAATACATCGGAGTGTCTTACAAGGAGTATTAACTTTTATTCGTCAAACTGGTTGGGATCTGTTTAAGAACTCTTTCTTGATTGCTCCATTGCTGTGGAACAATGAACACTGGCTAGATTGACTGAGTTTCACTTTGGTTACATTACAGACACCATGATGAAGTTTGCATCATTTGAAACCATAGTGGAACAACTCTACAAACATGCCATTCCAACACCAAAAGACCAATGCAGCAATACTACACAGCTTGGTGTGAGCTTTGCTGGTGGATATTTGGCTGGTATTCTTTGTGCTGTTGTGTCACACCCTGCTGATAACCTAGTTTCTTTCCTCAACAATGCCAAGGGGGCAACTGTTGGCGATGTGAGTAAACATTGAACTGTGTCCTCTGTTCTAATATTCGGGTTTCATTCTTAAGTCTGAACAATGGACTTGTTCATTTTTTGCCCTTTTTGTAGGCTGTGAATAAGCTAGGAGTATGGGGTCTCTGTACTCGTGGTCTTCCCCTTCGTATATTCATGATTGGAACACTTACTGGAGCTCAATGGGGAATCTATGATTCTTTCAAAGTTTTTGTTGGCCTGTGAGCGTCTTCTTCTGTACCTTTTATTTGCTACTGATTTAGAGTGCTTAAAATATCTTGAACTGATGCTTATGTACCTCGCTTTGCAGGCCAACCACCGGTGGTGCTGCTCCTCCGGCCCAGAAGTGAAGAACACATTAACGATTGCACGTAAGAGATAAAAGGGAACTGGAAATTCTTTCAATTCAAAGTTTTGACGGTTTGATATATATGGTAGTATTAGTTTTAGAGGACGTATCATCCTCGGCATTATTTGGTTTCAAGTATTACTTTTAAGGTAAATTCGCGTTTTCTGGATTTACAATAATATGTCAAATTCATAATGAGAGCATGTTGCTTCTCCACTTTATGGTTCTCATGTTATGAGATACTCAATTCAATATAAAATTTGTAAAAAACACCAGCAAATACATGATGACAGTACACAATATTATATCAAAGCTAATAGTACAACTGTTTTTATAGAAACAAGCTACACCTATCAATTTCTGCTACTACATTCTATTGGAAAATACACGTGACTACAGCACTAACAAAATTTAGGTATCATCCTTGCCAGTGTTCAATGGATATATGGTATCGAAGACTATCCTGGCAAAGACATGTCGGACTTCCTGTAGGCTACCTGAAGCTAACAACTCATAGTCGATCTTGCTACCTTGCTTGGCTACAAATCCCTTCTCCCTTCCCATTCTAACGCATTGGCAAACCTTGCACGCCTTTAAATACAGTGCTAATGGAATAAATACCTGCAAAAGGATGAACAAGAGACATATTAACCTGCCTCTTTCTTTAGCACGTGAGAATCAACTTTCTTTTGTCCTATGCCACAGTATGACGATAGAAAAGGAGAATGAAACCAAAGGCCAAATGACCACGAGAGAAAAGAAAAGATTTGTCTGAAGAATAGGAAGAATCGAAAATGAAAGATAAGAGAAATCAGCTTACTAGGTCTGAGTAAGGTGCTTTAGGGTAGTTGGCCATTGCCCGTGAGACGCTATACTCATCTGTCATATTAGTCAGTGCCCTTTGAACTGAAGTTGCCAGTTCCACTACTTCCTCTTTTAAAGCTGCCAAGTCCAGGTCCCGTGACTCCAACTCATGAAAGCTTCCATCATGTTGTGCAGAAATCCGTCTGGCTATACTTAAAGCTTCTGACAAATCACCTCCATTATGAACACCTAGGCTAAATGCAGCAACCACCAAAGGGTCCCTCGGTTGATCTGAGAGTGCTTTATGGAAAGCCAAAATTGTGACCCTAGAACATATAAAATTCAGATAAGCTTGGCTAATTGATCAAACAAGGAAAATAGCTTCCTAGAATTTTAGTGCATTTTGACTTTAAGAAAAGAAATTTGCATCTACATTTTGGGAACAAACTGAGAAAATTGTGTTCTAAAACCTTTTTTAGCATGTTAACAGAAGATAAGTCAGTTACACTTGAGCTAAAACATACGCCCTTCACATTCTTTTAGAATTATTAATTCTTTGGTGCGTAATCATGAATGACAGAATATATGCAACGCATCTAGACTAGGTAGACTTCAATTGCAATAGTGCAGACTGCAGCTCCAATCAATTGAAATTTATAGGTATATAAGATGTCAGCTCCAAACATACTACAGAATCTGTCATTATGAGACCATAAAATTCGCCAAATTTCTCTTGTAATAGAATTGTTCACCTGCATGTTTCCATTTACAACGACATTACTATGCCTTAAACAAAAGTTGGGTGCGGCTATATGAATTTAACCATGTTTCTCCATTTAAATTTATCTCAGGCCAACATATAAAGTACATGAAACATAAAAAACACTAGAAGTTCTCTTTATTTTCTATTGGCATAAGAATCTCTTAAAAGGCCAAAAGACTCCTGGAAAGCAGGACTTAAAGTAAACGTACTAACATAACTAAAACATATTGACAAAAAAATATCTGTACTTGCATGTTTTCACTACTTGCCAATAAGATTATTCACTTGCATTTATCCGACTTAGAGATTTATTGAAAGTATTACACTGGGAACCAGAGGAAAAGTCATTCTATCATATGTGGAACATTTGCACACCTGGACCTGTAATAAGCCCAAGTCAAACTGACTGAGAATGCACAAGAGATATATCTGCTCTTTAGAATCAGCTGAGAACTTGTCAGTACATTTTACCTTCTTTTTTTTTTTCTAAATAGAGCATTCACTTCTGTCAAAGTTACTTACTACCTAGGGGTACATAGATTCTTTTGAGGCTGTCAACACTCAACAGATTACATACATACAAACATACTTGATTTGTCCTTGACTTTCCCATTTTTATGAGGCATTATCAACAGTCCTCTATACACATATATGTATGAATTTTGCTCTTTGGTTTCCCTTTTCTATCTAGTATCTTCAACAGTTCTTTAACCATCAAAATAGAGGAAAGGTTCTGGTCCCTGATGCAGAAGAATTATCAAGCGGAAGTAGGAATAATACTGCACAATCCAGTGAATATACCATGACATTGAAATTGAAACTGATTCATAGAATGACTTACAAAACCACCTTACTTGCTGAGCCTGTATAGAGAATCTTACCATAAGCTACTGTGGCATGGCCTATCGGGGGCCACTAATTTATCGAGGTTGGAAAATAAAGACTGCAAAGAAAAAGCAGAAACAAGTTAATCATAATAGTTTTGACTTCTCACTCATCAAACCAAAACCAACATAACATAGGTTCAAGAAATGAGATATGCAAAATTGCTGACATGTCAAAACTTGCATATGGAAATAAAGGTGAGAGATTTTTTACGGTGGCAAAATAGTCCAACAAAAAGACGGGGAACCAGAACGAAATCTGCATCTGGATGTTAGTAATTGATTGTTTGCACAAATATGATGTCAGGGGAACCATGATTCTCTTCATTGTGTAGTATATGCCATCTAATGTAAAAGAAGTATAAAATAAGCAGGAGTGCAGGACAACATGTATACTAAGAACGCACATGCACCTCATTTGGTATTATTTTCTTAAGAAACACCAAAACAATGTAATCTTTATGGCACATTTTGTGAAACAACTCAACAACCATGAAAAACTCTATATAAAGTTGTTGCTTCTTCACTCAGTTCTGATCTTAAACTTACTATTTGCATTTACAAGAGCTTTGATAGTCATATGAGATCTACAACCTTATGATTAACCATTAGATCAACACCAAGTCAATAGCAAACCGACAAAAAAACAATAGTTGTTTCTTCTCTATCCTTTTGGCTTTTTTACGAGAATTTGATTAAATTAACAATGAATGAACTTATGGTCCAAAGTCTAATACATCAAGGCATTACCCACATTTAAAGCCACAAATGCAGTAAAATAAATCAGTTATGACTGAACAAAATAATTTATAACCACCATGGTTTCCATCATCTAAAGGCCAATAGGTACTACTTTTTTAAGGGAAGAAAATTTCCGCCCCTATATACCTTACAGAGGGCAGGAGTCTATGGTGGATGCAAACAGAAGAAAACAAACATCTTGCATCAGAGCAAGACTTATACGAAAAAAATTACCAAAAGCAAGTGAGACCTCTTATCACGTCTTCTAAAACCATGACGGACGAAATATGCTGCCTGCAAATTAAGCTATATTAGAAATGTAATTTAAATGACCATAAAGTGAAACAGAATTCAGAATATATTAACCTGAATTGGTAGAAGTATATCCAGAAGACCAAATTTCCACAATAATCTCAGTGAAGCCTCAGCAGAGCCATAGGCCAACATGTAATTCATTTCCATGAGGAGCCTTCCCTGAAAATCCAAAGCCAAGTGAAACATTTGAAATAGTTTTAGTGCTTTCTTGTTACTAAACCAACATATATATACATACACACACACACACATAGAGACAGAGAGAAATAGATGTTCTCCATGTACCCTGTCAAGCTTCAGGACTGAAGATGATAAATTTTTAATAGAAAGAGCTGTCTCCCTTCCAAATCGAAATCCTAGTCTGGCAGCAATTCTAATTGCACGAAGAATTCGAGCTGCAAAGGTAAAAAATATTCATGTTACACAGCAAATATTAGATACAAGATCACAATAGAGCAAAGACGTTGATTTAGAAGAAAAGAAAAAGTGTTGTCAATTCAAGCACTCTTGTGTATAGCTATATAGAGAGAGAACAATTAAACAAAAAGCCAATAGAGGCCCAAATAGAGATAGAGGACATAACTGATTATCATTTGAAGAGTCAAACTTCATTTAAGGAAACAGAAAATGGAAGGGAACTCACCACAATCCTCTACAAATGAGAAACTAGCAGGACCGATTGTTTGTATCTGTAGCACAAGTGATCAAATCAAATATGGTGGAATTGAGAGGATTATGGTAACAAACTAACAATTACACCTCATTAAACATAATATGCACACTTTAGCTTTCCTGATATCATCCACTCCTCCCATGTAATCATAGACGAGTTTTGAATAAGGGTCAAACATCAACCTGAGCAAAACCAAAGAATATTTACAACATGAGTAGACAATAGTAAATTTCAGAAGTTTTTAGATTAACTTTAGAAGCCTACTGAAACATCTCCAACCCATAAACTACTTATAGGAAACCAATTTTTTTTTAAAAAAAATCAGTACAGCACAGAAATCAATGAATATGGTTGGCCAATCTGGGACATTGATAAACACAGTCAAGAAGGAGTTAGGATCAGATATGCAACCCGTTTATTGTAAAATCTCTACGTAAACAATTTGTCCAACGAAAGTGGTCCTTCTCATCACAGTCCACTGGCTTCTCAAAAGATAAACCCAAGTTCCTCACAGGCCTTATTCCTGAGGTGTGAAAGCTTGAAACCTAATCAATAAAAATAAGATGCACCTCATAAGCAAATAATATGAATGTGGAGCACGCAAAATGATCTTTGCACCTATGGTGGGAAAAAGTGATAAAGATCATGGCAAACCTCCACAACTTCATCATCAACATGCACATGGCAGATCGGGAATCGCCTTCCAACTATCTCACAATGTGAAAATGTTCTACACACCTGCAATTACAATAATGATAATAGGCCATTCAGATCACATGTATATTTGTATTCACAATCTTAGTTAGCAAAGAAGAAATTTATGAACACAAAGTACCCAAACCTAGAGAAATACACAAAGGTACAGTCAATTTGGCACACAGAGAAGATCATGAGAAAACATGAATCATGCTATATAATGAAATACTGAACTCAGGGGCGGACCCACGTTGGGTCCAGGGGGTTCACCCGAACCTCCTCGGAAAAAAAATACACGATATATACAAGGTAAATTTTCTGTAGTTTTGTAGATATATATATATATATATATTTTGAGCCCCCTAAAAAACAAATAGAAATAGATGGCGCAGTGGCAAGTCCCCTGAATATTAAGTTGCACGCCCCCAGTTTGAATCCTTGTGACAACATTTATTAATTTTCTTTTTTTAGTTACATTTTACTGTTTTTCAAGCTTTTTTTAGCCTTAATTTTTATTTTAAAGCATGCTAAAAGTGTGGTTTTAAACCCAAAAAAATTCAAGAGTCCCATTTCTAAAAATTTCTTTACACGTTTATACTTTTATTTTTTGAACCCCTGAAAGAAGATCCTGGGTCCGCCACTGGCTGAACTGAGAAATAAAATTAACACTTTCTCTAGCAAGACTTAGAACTCGTCACATTACACCGAAGAGTCGAAGACTAGTGACCTATAAAGGAAAAGATATCTGCTCAACATGCTTCTACTAGATCAACTACAGCTACACAAAGCTTCAGACACTATAATAGCATGTGATGTGTCAATTCCATGCCGAAAGAAAAAGAAAGGTCAGCTAATATTTTTTATTGGTATAAATTCACATAGTGCATAATGGCGCGAGATGTTACAACCCCACTTTAGAATAGAAAAAAGGTTTAGGTAATAAAATTCCTTCAAATTGTCTCTAATTTGTAATATACCTAAGACAAATTTTCCAAAAAAAATTCAACATAGAACCATAAAGGTAAACATCATGTTAAACAAGGCAATGCATCCATACTTGTATGTAAAAATCCCTCCAATTGCTGATCTAAGGTTTCGCTTCAAGTGACAGAAGAAAAGGAATGGTTCCAGAGATAGTGATAAGCAAATTAATTAAATAAACTACATGGCGTGTATCAGAATCATGACTAAGAAGAGAGGATAACACATAATAGGAAGGGACGCTGAAGTTGTTGAGGTAGATTTTTAGCCATTTAACTCCTCCTGTGTTTCTATGAAAAGGTTATTATTTCAACCCTGGAAACTGACGGAAAGCAGTCATGATATCTGCAATGTAACTAATCTACTATGACATCTCATAGAAGATGATCTTCAAACATCATCTAGCATGACCTGAAATATATGCAGAAGACAGACCAGTATACAGTTCGGACCCAAGACTAACCTCTTTAAGTTCAGCTGTAGTTATAATGTCAAAATCTTTTGGTGTTCGTTTTAAAATAAGATCCCGAACACAGCCCCCCACAAGGTAAACTTCAAATCCTACATGATAGATGGAAAGAAATTTCTCAGGGTATCAGAATTCAGAGGACATTGAACTGATGATACAGGAAAAGAGAATACTAACAGCCCGTACAACTAAAGCATTAGATAACAATTTATCATATAAATAGAAAACTTCACCAAAAAATCAATATCTAATAGTTATCCATCATCAGCTGCACGTGATACCACGATAGCTATCCATTAAGTTCAATATATTCAATACTAGCTCTAGATGATTGGGCCAAGAACCATCGTAAGGGAATTGAAAGACCAAGAAGCAATTACATGTATCCAGACATGGAATATTACAATATTTGTTTGTTAAGAAAATGTTACATCAAGTATTTGGTAGCTGTCTTCAGGTAAACATTAGGTCTCAGTATTGCAGTTACTCTCTGCTTTTTATTGCTCCACAGCTGCTCCGGGATTTGTTCATCATGTTATTACTGTAAAGGAGTTTGGAAATTTGGATCTTCAAACAAGTTATTTTGTCTAAAGAATATAGAGACATTTCCTTTGGGGACGAAGACAATATTCCCCATTTTGGAGTGTAGGTAGTGGATTTCTTTTACGGTAAGTGGGGGTTCAACTCCTGCGAAGTTAGGAGCAACCAGTTGGTTGACCCGACCCCGACCTAGCGTCACTCATTCCCTATATCAGAAGGGATGCATAGGCTAGATGTCAGATGATCCATTTCTACACACGGTCAGGGAAGTTTTTAATAAAAAATGGAAATCAATTACATCACATATGACACCTAAAGAAGATCATAAAAAATGAACATTATAAGTAGCCACGTACCAAATGACAGATACCACATACACTGCATTACTCTTAAAAGAAGCATGGACCTTCGGTCTATGTTCCTCAGACTCTCCAAATGTTGCCGCACCCATGTTTGATCCTCATAAAATATACTACTTTATGGAGGATCAAACACACATCTGACAAAATATTGAAGAGTCCGAGCAACATAGCCTCTGGTATGTAACCATAAATAAGGAATAAATAATAACGCCCTTAAGAAACTCTCAGGCAAATCTTAAACTCTCTTCACCACAAAACAATTACATGGGAAAGGAAAGCTAGCTGATGCTGGCAGCAGGCTAATCAAATAGATGTCAGGTACTCATAAAAGAAATTAGTTGTATTATCAAGAATGAAGTTAATGTTCATTTTGCTCTTTGCATTGATGTTGATGGCAGCAAAGGATAAAACAAAGTAACATGAAGACTGGAGACTAGTCTCATTCATTAAGTTTCCCAATAGCTAACAAGGCAAATGATTTCCATTGCTAAAACAAGTACAGCAAACTTCTACAGTTATTACAACTTAATAATCTAAACAAATGTAAGCTAAAACATAAAAGCAGCAAATTATGATCAACTGTGAATTACATTACCTTTACTTTTAAGACCATTAAGAACAACTCTAGTAGGCCTTGCGATCATCGAACTGCTAATTCCTAGTTCCTTGGAATTGAACCTCTTCCATTCAGCTGGTTCTGGAAAGCAACTACGATTTTATCACTTTTTCCCCGCAATAACGGAAAATTTACTAAAACAGAAATTCTCAAAATTCACCAACCTTTGCCACTGTCAATCTCTTCAATAGCTTCAATTGCTGCGGAAAAGCTCATAAATACCTAAAAAACAATTGCAGAGTCTTTCAATTATATTCCAACTCTATAACAGAAATGAATAAATATCCATGTGTCTCTTGATGTACAATAAAAGAACAAAGGAGGCACCTTTCGCATGCTCTGAGACAGAGGAAAATGCGGACGACAGGAAAATGCGAAACCAGTGGAAATGGCCATGTTTCTAAGCTAAGCTTCTGCAACAATGTACACTGGGGTTTTGATAGGGTTTTTGATCAGAGAAGAAGAGGTGAAGACTCTGGACTCGGGTTGTGCTTGGTCCTAATTCAAATAATTGGGCTTTTCTGATATTGGGCCGCGCTAAGATGTCATCGGTCCAATTTAGTTTTTTATGGGCCCTAAATACAATATGGATTGGCACTTTATGGGGCCCAAGTCTCATAGCAGGCCAGCAGGCCCATTAACATTTTTAAAGACAAATATGATGATTTTACTTTTTTAAAAGAATGTAGTATGATTCAACCAATTCCTATGACAAAATTATTCTATAATCACAACTAATGTTATTATATATATTCCTTACATTATATTGCTCCATATAAACCAAGTTAATATCATACCAAATAAAAAAACAGAAATACTAAAAGTACTTTATAAAATGTGAAATAGTTTTTTTGAAAATCATACAATGTAAGTAAAAGTGCTAATATGAGTAAAACATATAATTACTACTAGATATCTATTTTCTACATCACTTTTATCATGTGTCTTTTATCATTTGTCTAGTCATCCATCATGGATTTCAAGATAGTGTATGTAATTGGAGACAACTTTCTTTCAAGTGATACATATCCTTCCATATTTAATCGTCATGATTTCATATCTAAATGTCATTTAATTTCGTCTAGCAATTAATATTGGAAATAACAAAACAAAATTAAGCTAGAAACACTATTCTCTCATTCGACTGAGCACAACTATTATCATTTCTAATCTTATCTATAACGATCCAATATATTCTAATTAACTCTCATATCTTTTCAAGTTAAGTACATAGGAAGAACTCAACCTTATCACGACATCACAATAGTAGCAGAAAAAAGCTTATTTCACATCAACCATCGTCAGCTAGTTATGTTGGGATCCAACCGATAAACAAATGAAGCACGTAACTATTCTTGAGCTTCTAATGGTTATTTCTCATAGCAGAAACCTACAACGTACATTATCGATTTAGACCTCTTAATTTGTCTAATTTATGACAAAAATACTATGTCTCATTGGATGCTTTTTTTTTTTTGAAACTTTAGTACTACAAAATCACGTACGGCAATTCTTTTTTGTGTGTTTTCCTTCTACTTTTTATGATATATAGCTGTAGTAATTATCGTTTTTTTTCTTTCACCATAATATTGACGAGACATCTGATATCTGACATAAAATTGACATTTTAGTTATAATATTGTTTGCATGCAATTTCACGCTTTAATTTATTTGCGCGTAAAGGGATAAGTGTATGAAAGTGATTTCTTGCTAATGAGTGTTCAAAACTGGTTTGACCTCTTTAAGAAATTTTATAAGATGTTAAATTGTTTTTCTTTAGCATGGATTTTGTAGAATTAAATATCCTTGTTCTGAAGAGACACAATGTGGAAAATATTCCAATGTAACAGTGAAGTTTTGTTTCTTTTGTTGAAGTTTCTCATGAAATTTAAGAAACTTCCTGAAGTTCCATAGTTTAATTCCACTTGTTTAAGTTATCTTTATCTGTTGTAATAGGTAAAAATATAAAATTCACATTTTATGGAGATTTATATGTTTAATTAAACAACTAGCTTGTCGAAAGTTGGTTATTTATGAGTTTAGATCATATACAAACCTCTTTACTTATTGGGTTTTGGATAACATTATATAGAAAATTATGCGGTTAAGCAAATTTATACTGCTTAATAATCATTATAGTTATAGCTTGCTATAATTATCATCTGCGGCTAACATTATACATTAATTACGTGGGCTGACTTTGAGTTTGTATGATTAGTCACATTTGTATATATAAGTCGCTAGATTATACAAATGTATATGTATAATGTACAATTATCTAATCAATACACATATACAATTCACCTATCTCCCCCTCTTTGCCCTCGCCTCTCTTCTCCCTTTCCTATTCTTGCTCGCATCTCTTCTTTCTCTCAATCTCGCTTGCCATATATACAAATGCATATGTATAATATATAATTATCTAACCAATATACATATATAATTCAGCTCTCTCTCACTCTCAGCTCTCTCTCTCCTCTCTCTTCCAGTCTCGCTCGCTTCTCTCCTCCCTATGACATGTAGATACGAATTTATAATTACCAAACTATAGTTATAAAGAATAATTAAGATATTTTTGAGTTACTATATGTGAAATTTTCTAATTATATTATTTATGTATATTACATATTTTTTTAACATAAAATATTAGATTTGACAAAATTTACTGTTCGCATTAACTGAGTAAACTTAAATTAGATCTTAGAAATACCTTGCTTTTGACATTTTAGTTGATGACGGCGGCCGTTTATGGCTCCATCGTAATCTTAAGAAATTTCGTGAGTTTGTTGCTTTGTGCCATTGAGTGTAAGAGAGATCGAGATCTAGTCAGGTGAATTGGGATTTGTGAATTAAATAAGCCACGAAAATATAGGAAATTAAATTTGATAGGTTAATTTCAAGTTCATAATTATATTGTCTAACATAAAATTGTAAATTCATTAATCAATACCTCAATACAAGTCAAAGAGACTGCTCATAATTAGTTCTGAAACTATAATCCGTTTATTATTAATTTAATTTATTTCAGCTGATTATATTATGATCAATTGATCAATATCTAGCCCAAATTAATTCACGAATAATCTTATTAATTTTATTTTATTTTCTTTGATTATATAGTTATAATAAACATAAATAATAATTGAAGTACTGAAAAATATTTTTTAAAAACAAATAAATTATTAAAACTTAATAAGAATAATAAATAAGAATAATTCATGTTAAGTTTTGACCCACATTTTACTCTATTTTTGTTCAATTCATTTCATTTCAAATAACTTTTTGATGGGTCAATAACACTTCTATCTTCTATCTTATAAAGCTGATATGAATTTAGATTTGAGAATTGAGAGGCCACAAAAATATGCTAAACATTAATTAGGGGGTCCATTAGATAAATGGAGATTTCCTTTTCTGATTTTGTTGTGTCATGCATATTTACAACATGTCATTTTAGTTTGATGCATTGCTACACCCCTATTAATTCTCTTGTCCTTTTTCTTCTCAAGTTGTTGTTTATTCGGTAGCAAAAAAAAAAATTGATTTGTCCATCATTACTTCTTAGCGTTATTCTATAATAAAGGACTTTATGCTAAGTAATAATTTTATTTTTCAAAAAGAGATGAATATATTCATGATTTGAATATTATGACGGTGAAATATGTAATAATTGAGCAAAACTATTGAATTTGATTGATCTCATAGATGGGAAATTGATTAGCTAGAGTACATATGCATTACATTTTTTTCTGGCAAGGAAGGACGCAATTAATTAAAACACCACCTAGAGTACATACTTAAGAGTTCAAGCAATTGGCAGAATGCAAAAATGTACATGCATCATATAGTTGTGCAAAAGCTATAGTTATATATCAAGTTATTCTCTTTTTATTGGAAAAGAAATGTTTTCATTTAATAATGTTTGACGTATAATAAGTGAGCATAGCTAATTAGAGAGAGTAGCTACGGGATTTATGGATAATTTCTAATAAATTTATTGATAAATAGCTTTTAAATAATTAAATTTTCTCACAATTTGATGCTAATTCCTCACTAAATGGGATAAGCATGATATATTACCATTGTCAACTTTGATGGTTTTCTACTATTTGTATTCTAGATAAAATATATATATATGGCTCATATTATGCAATATAATGGTCTTACCGCAAGAAATAAGGTTTATTGTGATGACCTTCAGAGGCGATAATATAAGTTGCCACAAAAGTTTAGACTTTAGAGGCGTCAGAATTGGTTCCATCTACACAATGGCGATAAGTGTTGCCACTAAATGTATAACTAATTCTAGCGACCCTAATCGCCACTAATAGGCAATTTTCAGTGTCGACTTATATAACACCTTCTTTGTGGAGTGTTTCTTCAGTTTTTGCAGCAAATGAAGTCACCACAAATATGTTTTTTTTTGTGTGGCGACTTAAGATAGTCATCACAAAAAAATTAGGTGATGAAAGGGCGCTATAGTCGTCACTAAAGGTAATTATTGGCGAGTTATTGTGGCGATTCTAGTCGATGTTAAAGTACTAATTTCTTTTAGTCACTACAGTAAAAATAATTTTTTAGCGACATTAAATATTGACACTAATAGAGAGTGCTAACGTCTTTACCAGCATTAATTAAATGTCATTAGAACCAATATCGCTAAAGGTTGTAGAGACATATGTAAACAGTGACAATTGCCGCTAAAAAATACATATTTAGCGGCAATTAAGAATTAAATGCCGCTAATGGTCATTTTTGTTACAGTGAGTGAGGGAAAAGGCAAGGATGTTTAAGCCATAAGGCCACTAAATTAGCAGTCGCTTGGGGCCTAATTAATATTGAGAACCCACATTAAACTATTCTTACATTTATCTTTTTCTATTTTTAATCTCTCGTTATTGAATATTCTAAAGTTCATCAAACAATCATTATGCAAAATCTTGTTGTATTTTTCTAAAAAGATCAAATTTGTATTTGGTATATTCTTTAAATTTCTAGCATAGTAACAATGTACTAGTTGAATTTTAGTATCCTTACATCAACTTATCCAATAAGTAAACATAACTATTTCAATATCATTACATAGATACTTTAAGAAAAGTTAGTCATGTTTTTTATTATTTTACTTTATATTACATTTTGTTATTAAATTTTTTTAATATTTACATTTTTACTTGATAACTGCACACCTTCTACCATCTCGAAACTTCACATGTAGAATTACATTGAATACAACAACTAAAAAAAAATAGGAGACGACCCCGGGGGAGGGGGCAATTGGTACATTCAGAAAAACAAGAGATCCAAATGTAATGAGTAGAAAGTTACAAGAAAAAGAAAATGGACCAACAATTAGTACTCAGTACGGTAGAATAATCACTGACCAATTCTTAATATGGCCATAGATTTTTTTAGTGGTAGACGTTGGCATAGTTCCATATGAACTTAATTGATGTGTGTACAAAATTGTGCATATTGCATAAAA